TCATTCCCTATGCCTCAGTCATAGGTTCTATAAAGTATGATATGTTGTGTACCAGACCTATTGTGTATCTCACCATGAGTTTGGCAAGAGGGTACAATAGTGATCCAGGAGTGGATCACTGAATAGTGGTCAAAATTATCCTTAGTGGAATAAGGAAACGTTTCTCGGTTATGGAGGTGACAAAGAGTTCGTCGTAAGGAGTTACGTTGATGCAAGCTTTAACACCGATCTGGATGACTCTAAGTCTCGATCTAGATACATATTGAAAGTGGGAGAGATTAGTTAGAGTAGCTCCGTGCAGAGCATTGTAGACATAGAAAAATTGCAAAATACATACGGCTCTGAATGTGGCAGACCCGTTGACTAAACTTCTCTCACAAGCAAAACATGATCACTCTTTGGGTGTTAATCACATAGCGATGTGAACTAGATTATTGACTCCAGTAAACCCTTTGGGTATCAGTCACATGGAGATGTGAACTAATCACATAAAGATGTGAACTATTGGTGTTAAATCACATGGCGATGTGAACTCGATTATTGACTCTAGTGCAAGTGGGAGACTGAAGGAAATATGCCCTAGAGGCAATAATAAAGTTGTTATTTAAATTTCCTTATATCATGATAAATTTTTATTATTCATGCTAGAATTGTATTAACCGGAAACTTAGTTCATGTGTGAATACATAGATAAAACAGAGTGTCCCTAGTATGCCTCTACTTGACTAGCTCGTTAATCAAAGATGGTTAAGTTTTCTGACCATAGACATGTGTCGTCATTTGATGAACGGGATCACATCATTAGAGAATGATGTGATGGACAATATCCATCCGTTAGCTTAGCATAAATGATCGTTTAGTTTTATTGCTATTGCTTTCATCATGACTTATACATGTTCCTCTGACTATGAGATTATGCAACTCCCGAATACCGGAGGAACACCTTGTGTGCTATCAAACGTCACAACATAACTGGATGATTATAAAGATGCTCTACAGGTGTCTCCGATGGTGTTTGTTGAGTTGGCATAGATCGAGATTAGGATTTGTCACTTCGATTGTCGAAGAGGTATCTCTGGGCCCTCTCGGTAATGCACATCGCTATAAGCCTTGCAAGCAATGTGACTAATGAGTTAGTTGCAGGATGTTGCATTACAGAATGAGTAAAGAGACTTGCCGGTAACGAGATTGAACTAGGTATGATGATGCCGACGATCGAATCTCGGGCAAGTAACATACCGATGACAAAGGGAACAACGTATGTTGTTATGCGGTTTGATCGATAAAGATCATCGTAGAATATGTAGGAGCCAATATGAGCATCCAGGTTCCGCTATTAGTTATTGACCAAAGATGTGTCTCGGTTATGTCTACATAGTTCTCGAACCCGTAGGGTCCACATGCTTAATGTTTGATGACGATTTGTATTATGAGTTATGTGTTGATGTACCGAAGGTTGTTCGGAGTCCTGGATGAGATCACGTACATGACGAGGAGTCTCGAAATGGTCGAGACGTAAAGATCGATATATTGGAAGGCTATATTCGGACATCGGAAATATTCCGAGTGATTCGTGTATTTTTTGGAGTACCGGAGAGTTACGGGAATTCGCCGGGGGAAGTAGTGGGCCTTAATGAGCCATACGGGGTAGGAGAGAAGGGCCTCAAGGGTTGGCCGCCCCCCCATGGCAAGTACGAATTGGACTAGGGAGGGGGCGGTGCCCCCTCTCTTTCCTTCTCCCTCTCCTACTCCTTCCCTCTCTCCCCTCTTGGAAAAGGAAGGGGACTCCAATTAGAATTGGGAATCCTAGTTGGCCTCCCCCCATAGGCACACCCCTCCTAGGCCGGCCTCCTCCTCCTCCCTCCTTTATATACATGGGCAGGGGGCACCCCAAAGGCACTCCAAGATTTGTCTTAGCCATGTGCGGTGCCCCCTCCACGGTTACACACCTCGGTCATATCGTCGTAGTGCTTAGGCGAAGACCTACGCCGGTAACTTCATCATCACCGTCGCCACGCCATCCTGCTGACGAAACTCTCCTTAGGCCTCAACTGGATCAAGAGCCCGAATGACGTCATCGAGCTGAATGTGTGTTGAACACGGAGGTGTCGTACATTCGGTGCTTGGATCGGTTGGATCGCGAAGATGTTCGACTACATCAACCGCGTTACTAAACGCTTCCGCTTTCGGTCTACGAGGGTACGTTGACACACTCTCTCCTCTCGTTGCTATACTCTCCTAGATAGATCTTGCGTGATCGTATGCATTTTTTTTGAAATAATGTGTTCCCCAACAATTTATAATGCCGATGCCCCCAACCTCTTTAGGTGCACAAATAGTACTCCAGTGTACCATATGGTATTTCTGTTTCCCGAGTTCTTTGCCCCAAAAGAACTGGAATCGCACCGTATCCATTTTTTCGTGAATGCCGTCTTGCAAAAGAAAGAATCCCATGATGAACATTGGCAGACTAGAGAGACATGAGTTGATCAGCATGGTTTTGCCCCCTAAAGACTGGTACTTGCCGATCCAAGGCTCCATCCGCACAACCACTCGATCGGTAAGGAAGAGGAAGTCCTCTATGGTGAGATGATTGTTGGTAAGAGGCATGCCCAAGAACTTGATGGGTAGGGTGCCTAGTTTGCAGTTCATGATGTCCGCTATCCTAAGGCAATGTTCCAGGTCCCCTTTGGTGACAAAAGCCTCGCTTTTGTCATAGTTGATCTTCAGGCCCGACATGGATTCGAAGCACATGAGCAGAAAATCAAAGGTTCACCAAACTAACTGGGTCATTCTTGATTATGATAAGCGTATCATCGGCGTACTGCAAATAAGTAATTCCACCTTTCATAAGGTTGGGAAAAATTCCTTGTATGTGGCCAGCTTTCCTAGCTCCCTCTAGGATGACAACCAACACCTCGACCACAATGTTAAAAAGCAACGGAGATATGGGATCTCCTTGCCTGACCCTTCTGGTATTTCGGAAGTACGGTCCTGGCTCGCCGTTGATGTTAATGGCGGTTTGGCCGCCTCGCACCATCTGCATAACCCGGCTCACCCACAATGGCAAAAAACCCTTTAACCTCATGACCTCTTCCATGAAGTCCCAATTAACCCGGTCATATGCCTTTTCAAAGTCTAACTTCAAAATCAGGAAATCATCTTTCTTTTGGGCGCCTGTGTGAAGGATTTCGTGAAGAACTGAGATCCCCTCAAGGATACTCCTACCTCGGATAAAGGCCGACTGGCTATGGCTGATGACCCGATGTGCCGCCAGGGACAGCCAGGTGGCGAACCTCTTGACCATAAGATGGAATCCCATGTTTATTAGGGCAATGGGTCTAAACTGCTTAATAAGCTCCGTCCCTGGAGTCTTAGGGAGCAGAGTGATGATTGCGTAGTTTAACCTCGTTATGTCGATTCTACCTCCTGTGAAATCACTCACCAACTCAAACATCTGCTGCCCCACAAGTGGCCAGAATTTCTTGCAGAACATCTGCTATAAGTTTAGTAGATTTAATAAGTTAGTTATGTGCTTTAAGTTTTTTTTTGAACATAGTACAGACGCAAGCGCTCATACATACGCGCATACACTCACTCCTATAAATGCGCGCATGCACACCCTACCCCTATGAGCACCTTCGAGATGAGCCGGCATATCATCTAAAAATTTATGAAGTCAACCTAGGCGCCTCGTCGTGGATGGAAACGTCTCCTCGTCAAATCAATGACCAACTATTTCTGATTTTTTTTAGATTTTATAGTATTTTAATAAACTATAATATATAGATAAAGCGGAAATTTAATTTGGTTCTTGGGAGCATATGCTCCTGCGCTTCAAAAAAGTATTTTGTCAATGTCAAAATAAATTTTTAAAAATAGATGTCTTTATTGTCACAACCAAATGCTAGAGGGAAAGCTTAAGCATTTGACATGTGCAAAGAAAAAAGAACAAGTTAAACTCCAAATGTTACACTTACACTTAATTTTGCTTTTTTTCACCAATAAAACACTACTATCTCGTTTCACATGAAAATTGTCAGGCACGGTTGTTATAGTAACATGAACATGTACAAATACATTCATTTTTTTAAAATTTATTTACTATTTGTTTTAATTTACTGTTCAAATATAGTGTTGCAACATTATAGCATTTTTTTCATGTTGGTGGTAAAATTTATATTTCTCTCGAGTAGCAGATATTTTAAGACGAGTCATATTTTTGTTCAGTGACACTCGCATCATTTTATTTTATTTTTTGTGAATGACACTAGCATCACTTGAGTCTAAATTCAGAGAGCACTTGTTGAGTTTTTTAAACACAATATAGATGCAAGCGCTCATATATACATGTATATATTCATCCATATGAACGCACTTACACACGTCTTACACCTATAAACACCTTCGAGAAACTGAGCCGACATATCATCTTAAGATTTTACGAAGTCGGTAGGAACGTCTTCTTCCATTAAACGTGCATCGTCGAAAATACTAAAATAACTTCAGGATAAATAAATGTGAATCATGTAGCTACTAGAAATCGGCTAGCTAATCCTCCATCAGGAAAGTAGTATTTTTCTCTTCTTTAAAATATTCTCTTCCTTGCCTAACACTAACAGTATGGAGTATGGCCGTATGGAAGGCTCTTGATGCCAAAAAAGAAAGTATGGAATGCTCTTGATGCCAGCTAGACACCTACGAGCTGGGCTCCCATTGGCTCTTCTTTCCACCTCACACGCCCGCGTGGCCATCAGCCCTTGGCCCCACTCACAGGTCGACTCCCCTCCGCGCGTGGCTGCAGAGCACGCCGCGTGCGTCCTCCGACCCCGTGCACCCGGTCCATGGGCGCCACCACCCGCTTCTTCCTCACCCGCTTTATAAGCTCGCTCGTACACCTCACACCTCTCACTCACTCCGCCCTCGCCCCCGCCATCTCATCGACGGCTCGAAGCCGAACCCTCGGCAAGTAAAAGATACCTAACCCTAGCTCGTCCGCCATGGCCAGGGAGGCGTCGTCGTCCTCCGCGCCGGGGCCCTCGGAGTTGCCGCCGGCCGCTCGTGGCAGCGGCAGCGGAAGCGGAAGCGGCGGGGACACGCCGCGAGTGCCGCGGCGGCGCGCCCGCGGCGACCCGCTCCTCATCGTGTGCGGCTGCTTCAGCGTCGTCACGGCCGCCACCGCCTTGCTCTGCGTCGCCGTCAACGTCCTATCCGCTGTCCAGTCCTTCCGCCGCAACGGTGGCTACGTGAGTCCCCCCCTTCCACTTTCAACCCTGCTCGACGCACCGCGGTAACGGGCTGATTCGGTGTCTTACTGCCGGGCTTTCAGATATTCGGGGGCATATTCCGGTGCTATGCGGTGGTGATCTCGCTATTCGTGGCCGTCCTCGAGACTGAGTGGGGATTCATCATCAAATTCTGCAAGGTTCGCTTCGTTGCCCGGCGCCCCTGCCTTAATATGTGCATCTTTAGGATTTGTATAAAGAAAAATGCATCTTTTGGCGGTGTTGAGGTTTGTCCAATTTGAACTGTTTTGTGGATGATAAAAAATGCGTAGGTTACATGTAATTTATTTTGTGCTTCAGCCTCCAAATGGTGCCTATGTTGCTTGCTTCACACAATTAATTGTTTGCTACCATTCATTGATAGTGGAATGTGCTATATCGGTGTCGGAATTTTAATTGGTTTAGGTAGCAATCCATTTAGTTTCTCTAGTTTAGGACATATTTTTTAGATGCCATGTCATTATTATAGTGAATTGTCAGATTGTCCTTTTAAGGTCATCTCTTACTCCAATTGAGTGTAGTCTTAAGTTGCCTCTATGAGGAGACAGAATATACAGGCTTTCTCTCTTTCCCACCTCGCAGATTGTGCTTGGCTTGTTGGTTTAGGAACATAAAAACTTGCTCTCTTTCATTCTTCTTTTTTTGTTCCACATCATCACCAATGATGATGACGGAACTTTGGAGATTCCCTAACTGCTCCTGTCAGCGAACACCAAGTCTTATTTCGGCTGCCCTTTAGATTTAAGCTTATGGATTGGGCTTCATGCAATCTTATTGTCCATGAATGGAGTTAGAATTTTAGTGGCTTTCTAGTTTTGTAAACTTTCTTCTCTTTGACATGAATAGATATTGGAATACTGGCCTGCAAGGGGGATGCTACAGATATTGTAAGTATTCAGGATGACTATATGTTTCTCAACTCCTATTATGTTCACAAAATTCAATTCTTGGTCCGCCCCTTCCCTAGACCGTGTGCAAGCGGGAGCTACATGCACTGGGCTGTCCTTATTATTTTTACTAGAATTGGTGAATATTTTTACAAATTTTCAGAGTGTTTCATGCATATGCTTAGTGTGATAGTGTCGATGCTCATCTAGAGTTTACCTATATAATTGGTAGATTGGTTTTGGTTCCTTCATTTTTGGAAGTAATGGACAAAATAAACCTCAAAAGAAAATTGTGAGAGGTGTGGCTTCATAATTTTCAAAGTGAATGGTTCTTGAAAATTGTGGGAGGCGTGGCTTCATAAAGTGGCTGTTACTCGATATATATTATAAGATACGATAAATTGCTAATTTCACGAACACTACCCTTAAGCATAGCTATGACATATAGAAAAGCATGACAAACACAAACCTTTCTTGTATTCTTATCCCATGCAATCATACCCCCCACCCCCCCTTTCAGTGGATTGTGGTCCTCACATGCTCAGAGGCACCTGCATGCATGAGCCCAAGATTGCCTATGTTAGCATACATCATGGCAGAGGAATACTTTGTAGATTATGGAGCACAGGAGGCCACCTTAGTTCTGCTAGAAATATCTCTTGTATCTTTATCTAGGTTTCATGTTATCAATTCATCGACATAGTTTCAACCAGGGTGACTAGAAATGCAAGAACAGTATTAAGTGTGCACACTTTAGTGAATACTTGAATATTACTAGGATGATAAAACTTGTGAACTTAGGCATGAGTTGAGAGTAAAGCTCTTATCAAGTCATCATCATGGGGGGTTTCACCATATTGACCTCTTTGCATTCACAGCACATGCACCAAGAACTATCACAATTGCATGCACCAGCCACTGTAAAAATTCTGGGATCCTGAACCTGTTAAATTTTCATTTGTTTCCTGGGACACTATGAGCAGTGTCATGATCACGGAAACAGGAATTGGAAGTGCTATTGATTATGTCTTGCCAGTCTTAAAATGTAACCATGTCTGTTACTATTGTTATTCATTTTTCCTTTGGTTCCTGGCAGTGTTGCTGTCATGACAAAGGCATACCCAAACGTTGAAAGGAGCGATCTGATTTTGCTTCAGGACATTGCCAGCTATCTGCTCCTTGCATGTGGACTAATCTATGTAATCTCGGTGAGTCTAGAGAACTTTGGGTGTTAAGTCTGTGTTCTGTTATAAACTATGATGCCTTTCTATCCTAAAAGTTAAAAGTCAACAAAAAAGCTACTCCCTCCATCCCATAATATAAGAACGGAGGGAGTAAAAATTAATTTTGTTAGAATCGATGCCATGTAATTTTTGAATCATTTCCTGTTCCAGAAAATTAGCCTGACAAGTGACAACTATCTGAGCCTATATAGATAGCATTATGGACCGGTTGAATTCAGCTTCTCACAAGCACTAGTATCAGATATTGGAACAAGGCATTCCTATTATAACAAAGCATTATCCTGCAATGTGCAGTGGAACAAATGATCAGTATTGGAGTTCGTTTATGTTGTACCACCATGTTTTTACTTGCACTAACAACTTTGAATGTGTAGGGGGTATTATGTCTTGGTGTACTAAAGCGCTCTAGGCAGCAGAAAGCAACATCACGAGAGCAAGCAGCCAAAGATCTGCAGGCAAGTACTCAGCCCCTATTTTTCTTAAGAGTAATGAATGCATTTAAATTAAGCTTGAGTGTGTTGAAGTGTATATGTGGATTACCTAGCTGCCTTCAGTTCGGACTTTTGGTTGCGTTGGCTAGTGCATGAAGCCTTTACATGGTATCGGAGCCTAATGTCTTGAGTTCAAGTCTTGGCTTTTGCAATTTATCCAAAAAATTGCTGCTGCCCCCCTTTGTCCACATATAGGGGCCCTTTGTCCACATATAGGCTTCTTGAGCTATACCTCTGAGTCTATGCACGTGTTGACTTCCTGCGTCACACGTGAGAGGGGGTGTTGAAGTGTATATGTGGATTGCTTAGCCCTTTCTATCAGTTTGACTTTTGATTGCGTTGGCTAGTGCATGAAGCTTAACAGAGTGTATACTGGTAGTTTCTCTTATTTGACCCTGGAGAATTTATTCTTTCCGTGGTTCCTGCCTGATAGTTTTTCTCTCTTGTTTTGATCATTGGTTACTGTACATTTAATGCATACATATTTCGTACGATTCTTCCACTATGATTGGTAAGTTTGGTATGAAGGTTTTCCGAGTCATACCTTGAGATTGAAACAAAATATCTGTTCACAGGAGAATCATTATTACCCATTTATAGAAGAGGATACACATTGTTGTAATCCTTTGGTCTGAGTCAAGCAACTGTCTACTGCACACTGCTATATCCACTGCCTTTGTGAACTGCTGAAGTTTCTTCTTAACATGTGTCAAGGCTACAGTTTACAACAATAGTTCTGGTCGCTACCATGGTGTCATCTGCTGACCATTCCTTAATTTCTGTTGGTATTCCAGGAGCTGGAGAAGCGGAGAGAGGAACTCGAGGCACTGTTAATTGCTGAGAGGTCCGAATTGGTCTGATGAATCTGAGCACGACGATTTAACATTTCTCACATGGTGTAGATAGATTGTTGCTCCTGCTAATTGCATGCCGCTTTTTCATGGTCATCGATTTGTCACCCGGGACATTTTCGTTGGGAGTGCCCCCTTTTCCTGTAAGTGCTAACCTTTACCGATCATTTGCTTCCTATGTTTACATGGATTGCAGTGGACCATATTGCTATTTTTAGCTAGGAATGGCTTGCTAACATATTTGGTAAATCGACAGGTGTTCCAGTTTTCGTCTAGATTTCTGCTGAATTTGGTTTCTGGTGTGAGCATTTTCGTGGATGCATGGATCAAGCAATGTATGGATTGTCTGAGCATTTTCGTGGATGCATGGATGCATGGTGTGAGCATTTTCGTAAATGGATGGATTGAGCATTTTCGTAAATGGATGGATCTTACAGTATCTGAATTTGGTAAATGGATGCATGGTGTGAGCATTTTCGTGGATGCATGGATTGTGTTGTCTCAGTTGTGTTGGATTTATGTTAATGCCGTAGGCCTCAAAATGTACCATGCTGACATGGTGTGTGTTTGTTGTCTCTGTAGTCTTTGTCTGAACCATGGATGCTAAATAATTTTTTGTATTTTGTGTAATAGAGGGTCCATGCTTGGTTAACTTCTGAGATTTGAATTCAAGTAGGTTGTTTTCAAGCAATTTAGAGTTGGGATTCTTGATGTGGATAATGCGTGATAATGCGTAAGTGCCGTTGCAAACTTTATAACAAGTGTTGAGAAAACCAGTCATATACATTATGCAAATATGTATATGCGGTCATGGCAGATGTGTCGTTGATTCCTGGGCATCCATTGTTTCTGCTCCTGTGGCCATGGCAGATGTGTCATTGCGGTCTGCCATGAAGGGACAAGCGGAGTTGCTGCGCTCTGAGCTCCTCAACATGGCTTCCTTTCGACTCGAGAAAACGGTTCAACCTCTGCGCGATGTCGTTGATTCCATGCAAGGTTGGATGCTTCGGATGGGGAACTTTCTAGAGCGAGCTGAGGCTGTTCTGAGTGGGCTCTCGCAGGTGTCACCTATGTTGCAAACTGCTCCTATGCAGCGCCCCCTGGTTGTGCCTGATGTCAACCTTGAGGACGAGAATGGAGATGGGCTTCATGGACGTTTCTCTCCTCGTGCCGGGGTCAGATCGCCGTTATCTGCCTCTGAGGGTTCGTGCATTGATGTGGTTGTGTCTTCGGTGCTACAGATCATGCCTGAGTTTATGGAGCTGTGTGGGGAATCGACTCCGCCTCTATCCGTTGAGCAATTGAAGGTGGACCCCCTCGAGATCTTGGTTGTGGCATTACCTCCATTACCACCCCTCGAGCCCAACCAGATGCTTGACTTCGAGGAGAAGGGGCATTCAGACGTTGCAATGTCTTGCTCGTCCGAGTTCATTGGGCACGTGGTTTTTGTAGATGATGTGGTTGTCGCACCCAGAGCAATGCTCGTGTGCCTGGGGCTCTAACAGCGAAAGAGATTTGTGCTTTCCTCGCTACCTTGGACGCTGTTAACCCTGGATCCGACAAGACGATTGGGTGTCTCCTTAAGGAGAAGGTCATCAGGGATAATAAAAGTGGTGCTACTAGCTCTCGTCCTGTCGTTTTGAAGAAGAAATCAAACAAGTGCAGAAGCAAGAAGAGTGGCGCTATAGAAAAGGCGTCCGCACTTGCTTGATGGATAGCTCTCAGTGTTTGGACATGTCATCACGGGTGTGCTCAGGTCCGTGGCATTTGCCGATGTTGGTTCCTCTAGTTACCATGTGGGGGCTCACTTGTGAAGTTGAATTTCATGTGCAAGCGGATTGTAAGGGTGGTGTGATGGGGGAGTTTGTCTGTCTTTCTTTGTGGTCTTGTGGTCTTATGGTTCGGGAATAGTCTGCTTGTATCATGGGGTTGTGGTTTGGTTGTCTTTCGGGGCCAAGCATGTAACGGTTTTCGCCCGGTTTTCCGTAAATTAACCAGGCGACTCTCTTCTTCTTAATTAATGAATGAGGAAAAGCTTTTGTCTTCGTTTAAAAAAATATATGAAAAATATTACTCCCTCCGTTTCTAAATATAAATCTTTTTTAGAGATTTCAATACAAATTACATATGGATGTATAAAGATATATTTTAAAATGTAGATTCACTCTCAAGAGTTTAGGAATGGATGGAGTATCTTCATTTGTGGCTTGCAAAGGAGAAAAATGAATTCACATATGCATCAGGATAATAATTAGTTAATTACGAAAGCACGAAAACATGTAAGCTCCATAGGACGCATGTGTCAAGCCCCATGCCTGATGATCTCCTCGAATTCGATACCTGCCGTGTTTGTTTAACCGAAGAAACACAACAAATCTTGGACTCTGTTTCGATCATCCGATCTGCATCTAAGAGCAACATACTGCTTCGTCGAGCTGCCGTGGAGCACTGCAGCCCTCCTATTTGAATTCCGACAAGAGCATTGTAGCTCTTTTTTTCCAGTCTTCTATTTTGCTTTACGTTTTCCATAATGTTAGGTTATAGCTCATGAACGATGGGAAGAGACATCTATCTTGTAATTGGGTATAAATCCTAGCCATCATGTTCTTGGGTATAAATCCTAGTCGTCATGGTCTAGTTGTCGTCAAGCCCTGTCTTAAATTCGCCATAGTTTCATCTCAATCATTCAGTAAAGTGCACTACTTTCCATTTTCCTTCTGAATTTGTTGTTCTAGCCGCTCTTCAGTGAGCAAATCCTAATAGTTGGCATTGAGAGCAATCAGTTCTTGTGGATGTTTGAGACTTGAGAGAGGGCGAAGTTCGGATCTCCGGTGAAATCTTTCAAGAGGGTCGGGGTCTAGTCTTTGGTACCACTCCTCTTTCACAAACAGATCAACCACTAAGTGTTGAGTATATATATTGTGCATATCTGTGTATTGGGCCCACCTTCTAGTTTTTTGTATAGTTGAGGTCGTGGTCCACCTCTTGTACATCATATATACGTGCATTTGCACATGAGCAATACATCATGCAATTCACATAACACACATGGTATCAGAGCCAAGAGGTCTTGAGTTCAAAACCAGGCTGACGCAATTAAATTGCAGGCCACTTTTGATCCACGTTTAGGCCCGAGGGAGCCACACAGTTTTTTAGTTTTCTTTCCCCACTTTCGCTCCGCCGTCGCCGCCATGCCTCTCCTCGCGCCGCTCCAAGCCGCCGCCGCTCCTCACCTCCCGCTGCCGCCGCTCGCGCCAGCCGCCGCGCCTCACCCGCAGCCGCCGCCCGATTCGCTGCGCCGTTACTCCACCCGCCGCTGCTACCGCCCGCGCCACACCGCCGACCCGAGCCGCCCACGCCACACCGCCGCCCAAGTCCTACCGACTCGAGCCGCCGCCACCCGCCGACCCAAGATACCATGTACCAGGCGTACTACGCGGCTCCACAGCCGTATGGAGGATACCCACCGCCCAGCTGAGCGTCGGCTACGGTCTCCCTGCGGCCCCATCGCCGCCCTCGCTGGCCCTGGCGCCGACGCCTTGGGATCCGGCGCTCCTCACCGCGCTGCACACCGCGCCTATGCCGAACACCTACATTGGAGGCGGTGATTGGTACATGGACACCGCCACACCGGGGCTACGGCTCACATGTTTGCTCATCCTGGTAATCTTGCCTCCTTCACTCCCGTCACCACCGACCGCCGCATCATTGTCGACGACGGTTCCACACTCCCTATCACACATGTCGGGCACACTTCTTTTCCTTCTAATTCCATGCCTTTAACTTTGTCTAGCATACTTGTGTCACCTCATCTTATTAAGGACCTTGTTTCCGTTCACTGTTTAACTCGTGAATATCCTGTTACTGATGAATTTGACGGGCTTGGTTTTTGTGTCAAGGACGCTCGAAACCAGGATAGTACTTCACCGATGTGACAGCCCGGGCGAGCTCTTTCCAGTGCATCTGTCGTCCACCTCCACCATCGCACCGGTTGCTCTCTCCGCTGGCGTCGATCTCTGGCACGCTCGTTTGGGTCATCCCAACCCCGTCACACTTCGTCATATTCTTAGGAGTTTCAGTTTCAGTTGTACTAAGATAGAGGATCACACCTGTCATGCCTGTCGTGTCGGCAAACATGTTCCCCTTCCATTTAATAACTCCACCACCATAGCTTCTTTTCCCTTTCAGTTGATTCATAGCAATGTGTGAACCTCTCCAGTTCCTAGTAATTCGGGCTATTTATATTATCTAGTTATCCTTGATGATTATTCTCACTATGTGTGGACTTTTTCTTTGCGACGAAAGTCGGACGCACTCTCCACCTTGAAGGCTTTTTACTCCTATGTCAGCATGCAGTTTGGGCGTCACATTCTTGCTCTTCAAACTGACAATGGAAAAGAGTTTGACAATCTTGCTTTCCGCACTTTTCTATCGCACTACGGCACAGTTTTTCGTCTCACATGCCCGTATACTTCACAGCAGAACGGTTGAGCCCAAGGCGTCCTTCGCACTCTGAATGACTGTGTTCGCACGCTCCTGTTTCATGCTAACGTGCCGCCTCGCTTTTGGCCGGACGCACTCGCTACTGCTTCGCTTCTCCTTAACCTTCGACCATGCCGCCCACGGTGGAACTACGCACCTCACCATCTTCTCTTTGTTACGCCCCCATCTTATGATGGCTTGCGTATTTTCGGGTGCCTTTGCTATCCTAGCACTGCTGACACCGCTCCCCACAAACTCGCACCCTGTTCTGTCGCTTGCATCTTCATTGACTACCCCTCTAACTCCAAGGGTTATCGGTGCTACGATCCCGTCTCCCACCGCGTGTTCACTTCCCGGCATGTTTATTTTGATGAGCATGTGTTTCCGTTTCAGCAGGTAACCCCGGCTGTTCCTCTCGCCGCCGATGACGCGGGCTCCTCGACGCCTCTCCCAGGGGGCTCGCGTGCCTCTCTTAGCCCGCCCTGGCTTTGAGGCGCGCCCCCCGCATACGGCGCTCCCTCCGGCCG